CCCCCCCCCCCCCCGCCCATGTTAGGTTTTAGTAGGACCTGGTTTTCAGCGAGGAGATGAAGGTTCGGAGAAGTGACTGACAAAAACACTGCTTCTCCAGAGTGCTCCCGGAGGGCTGACTCCAGCCGGGCAGTGATTGCCACAGAGGGCTGAAGAGCTAACCCGTCAGAAAAGTAAGTTCTTTAGGGTCCCCCTAAACTCCATGCTTCCCCCCGCCAAAACAACTGAAAGAGCGATCATCCCCTGCCCCACAGGAGAGAGGGAAAACCGAGGCCAGGGGAGAGTCACACAGCCAAGGGCCAAGGCAGGGTCAGGCGGGGACCAGATGTCATCGGCCTTCAGCAGAACCATCGTGTTACAGGCCTCGCTCCCGCAGACCCGTGCGTCCGACCAGCAACCCTTCCCCCCTCCAAGGTCCACGTCCTATTCTTATGGCTTCCCTCTTGTAGACTCCATCAGTTAGCATGGTCTGTGCTCCAGACACAGGTGGTGTCTTTGGACAGGATGAGGGTCTCAGGTCGGCTGCCTGGGTTCAAATCCCGACTCGGCTGCCTACTAGCTGTGTGACACTGGACCAATTTCTCAACCTCTCTGGTCTCGGTTATCACAGCTGTGAAGTGAGGGTGATAATAGCTTCAACCTGCTCTAGGGTCCTGAGGATCCAAATGGACCCCGAAGACTGCAGCGCAGTGCCTCTGGCTCGCCTGCTGTGCGAGCTGGGTTCTCTCCCCGCGCGGGGCACAGACCTGAAGAGCCCACTAGGCTGAGAGCCGGCGGTGCTGGTCTCACCGTCCTCACACCTAACCTCAGGCTTTGGCGGAGAACCAACCGGGGAAACAGACGCCCCAGGTAAAGCCAGGGAGAGGGTGAGGGGCTCAGTGACGCGAGGCGAGAGGGGAGGTGGGTCGGGTAGAGACCCGCGCAGCGTCGCGGCGGTTCCCGCCCCCGCCCTAAGTTCACCCTGCGCCGCCGGTCGGGCCCTGCCTGGTGGCCCAGGAGGAACGCTCCTGTGGCCGATGCACAGCTCTGACCCCGAGGCTTTCTCGGAGCCCGCGGGCCGCTCTCATTCCGCAGCAACCTACCGCAGACCGCGTCCCGCCCCACAGCCCCAGTCCTCCTGCCTTGGGCCGGGAGCCAATGTGTGTGCGGGGGTGGGGTGGGGGCGGGGGGGCCTCCCGCATCTAGACCCCCCCCGCCCCCACCCCCGACGGGCCGCCGTAGGGCTCCGCGAGATTCACATTTAAATGAGTAGATTTGAAGCAAAGCAGATTACCCACCATAATGTGGGTGGGCCTCATCCAGGCAATTGAAGGATTTAAGAGATTGCGTTCCCCAGTGAAGAGGGAATTCTGCCTCCTGACTGCCTTTGGACTTGAACTGCGACATCACTCTTGCCTGCATCTCCTGCCTGTTGGTCTATCCTGCAGATTTTGGATCTGCCAGCCTCCACAATCGTGTGAACCAGTCCTTAAAAGCAATCTGTCTGTCTGTCCATCTTTTTGGTTCTATTTCTCTGGAGAACCTTGACTAATACAGGTACTTCAGATATCAGTCAGATGATATATATATTATGACCCCCAAAAAGGAGTTGGGTAGTCAAAATATTGTCATACCAGACTATAAGGAGTAGACTTTGAAGCAAAGATCTTTAACACGGTACAGATTTCAGAGTTATCCTCGAAAGGCTGACAGGCAAGTCACAATAGTCTTTGGATATATGGGGAGATGTGGGAGAACAGGAAAAGCATGAGTGAGAAATAACCCTCTGGGATGACAAGGAAGGAGGTGACACTTCATTCACAGTGGGAGAAAAATGCCTCCTTCCTGCTGTTGTGTGTTAATTCCTAGAGCTGTGCATCTCCCTCTGCTTTCTGGGGACCTCAAGTCATCAGTTATCATCCCCTTTTCTCATCTGCAAGTGCTCAGTCTACAGACTTCTTCTATTCAAAGTGTAAACAAAAATTGTTTCTCCCATGTTTTGTCCTGTGTCTCCCTGCCTCGTCTTGATCCCAAATTTTTCTTCCGTTTGACAGCTAAGTGTTTTCTAGAGAGGTTTACTTGGCACTCACTTCTTTGCTTCCTACTCATCTCTACTTGTTGCCCCCTGCTCCTCCCCACCCCCCACAAATTCTGCAGTGTGGTTTGGCCTCTGCTTTTCTTCCCATGGGGAGAGCTGTTGAGTCTACTTTCTTTGTGTCTCAAATGCATCACCTTTTCTCCTTTCTCTTGCCTTCTTTCAATCCCTCATTTCTCACCTGAGTTACCAAAATGCCTCAAAACTCATCTCCCTGTCGTATCAAACAGGTCTAAGCAATCTTCCAGGCCGATGTCTGAACCCTTCCAAAATGAAAGTTTAATACTGTTACTTCTGTTTGAAAGTCAGCCCAGTAAAATCCAAGTTTCTTGGCACCGTGCACTCAAATGCCCCAGCTGGTTCCTCTTCCCCAGCCTCCTCCACCAGATACCCCTCTTTGCATGCTATTATCCAGCTCGATGAAACCACATGCGCTTCCCCAAAGACACTACGTTAATGTTACCTTTACCCTGCCGTCCTTCCTTGTCTCCCTCTCCCCTTTGGTCCAAGCCCCTCCTGTTTCTAGTTCAAACTGCGATTCAGTGTCAAATCCTTAAGCACCTTGTTACTCAAGGTCCTGGACTAGCAACACTGCTTTGCCTGGGAGTTCCACAAAAGTGCAGATCCCCAGCCCTGTCCCAGCCCAACTGAATCAGGATCTGTGCCTTCATTTGATCCCTAAGTGGTTGATATGCCCGTTAAAATTTGAGAATTACTGCCTTTGGATTCGATGTGAGTGAATGGATGGGGGAAAGGAAGTACCCATCACTGAGATTGTGTCCATGTATCGGAATGGAAGGGGGGGCAGTGAGAACATCTGCAAGCCAAGAAATGAAATAGGAATGGTGTTAAAAGTGTATGTAATATACATGTATATTTGACAACACATAAGTGGCATTATTTATGTGGAAAAAAAAGTGAACAAAAAATCAAGAAGGGAAAATAACAGATACTAGAAGATAGAACTTGAAATTAAAAAAAAAAGAAAGAAATTTGGGGAAATATAGTAGAAGAAGCAGTTTAGAAATGTGCCTGATTTGTGAGAGCATTTTGTTTTGGATAAATGTATACAAGAATGATACATACCGTTAAGTATCATAAATTGCACTTTTAGAAACATTATAATTAAGCTCCAAACTTAGATTTATAAGTAAAGGTCCAAACTCAAGAATGTGAATATAAAATATCTCCATTTTCAACCATCTGTCTTCATGAGAAGAAGGATTTCCCTCAAGTCCCCAATACCATTGACAATCATTTACTCTATTGAGGCTGCTTTCTGTGCGTGGTTTAGATTCCTTCAGCATAAGAATGGAAAATGTGCTGACATCCCAGCTAAGTATAGTCGTGATAATCGTGGCAGCCACTCATTGGTGGCCAGGGTAAAGCATTATGTTGGAGGCTTTATACACGTTGTATTCATTATTTGCTTTGGAATATATAAGAACACTCGCTTCAAGTTATTTTTCCTGAAGAGGACTTCTTTTATAGAGGGGCAGGCTTGAGTACTTACTGAATCCTGTGGGCTGGTCCAAAAAATGGACTTAGGGAACAAGTTTCTAATGTATATCTAGAAATTTAGAAGACAGTCTAGTTTATAAAAAGAGAGATTATTCTGGGTGATATAGTATTTCGTTGATCTCTGGAAGGAAAAAGATGGGACCAGGTGCTCAACTAACTTTCCCAACAATAAGTTAAACTGACATCAGGTGCCTCTTTGAAGTGATGCATTGAGAATGACATGATGTGACTTAGCTGAGATTCCTGCCAAAAGCATATAACCTGAATCTACTTGTGAGAAAACATCAGATAAATCCAAATTAAGAGATGTTCTACAGAACTGGTCTATACACTTCAAAGATGTCAGTGTTATAAAAGACCAAGACTAAGGAACTGTTCTAAATTGAAGGAGACTGAAGAGACATGAGGACTAAATGTATAAAATCTAGATTGGATCCTGGATGAGGAGAAAACACAAAGGACATTATTGGATCAATTAATAAAATTCAATTATGAACTATAGATAATACTGTATCAATGTTAAACTGTGGATCTTATCATTGTATTGCAGTTATATGAGAGGATATCTTTGTTCTTAGGAATACACCCTGAAATGTTTAGGGTTAAAGAAGAATCATGTCTGCAACTTGCCCTCAAATGATTTAGAAAAATAAGTGTGTGTGTGCGTGTGTGCACGTGTGTGTGTGTGTATGTACACACACACATTTAGAAAGAAAGCATTAAAGCAAATAAACAACTGACTGTTCTGGGTAACGAATATCATAGTTCACTTTGTACTGTTCTTGCAACTCTTCTATAAATTTGAAATCATTCCAAAATGAAAAGTCTTTTAACAGATTTTTTTTAATGTACAAAAATATCTCAATTGGATTTAGTGAATGATAGAAGGAGGCATTTGGGATCGTTTAATCTATGATTGCTCTAATCCTACACAAAATTAGTTCAGTGATGGAAAGTAACTAGCCCAAGCCTCCTCCACACACATTGCAATAAATCATTTCATTTGGACCCAGCCCAAAAATCAGACCACAGAGGAATGTTAGCAGCTGAACTGCTCCCTTTTTTAAATACAAAGTGCCCCTGGGGTCAGGACCTACCAAGGAGGACTTCCATGGGTCCCTCACAGAATGTTTCAAATAGATATAATTAATTGCTAATGAATCAGATCTCTGGTGACAGAGGGCAAGGGAGCAAGGAGACTCTCTCATGTAGGAAATAGGAATCTCTGAATTAATCCAAGCGATCCCATTCCCTTTCTATCGTGGAAATTAGTCATACTCAATGTTGAAATTCTGGATGACTACAAAATGCATTTTGCTGTGGGATTATGCTAAAGAACCCTAGGAAATAGTTATTGATTCATATATATTTATACATTCTTGATTCTCATGATCACTATCAAATATTTAGTACAAATCCTAATTCCCCATTTTACTTATTAGAAAACCCATATAGGGGGCACCTGGGTGGCTCACTTGGTTAAGCATCTTCCTTCGGCTCAGGTTGTGATCCCAGGGTCCTGAGATCCAGCATCGGGCTCCCCGCTCAGCCAGAAGTCTGCTTCTGCCCCTCCCCCCGCTCGTGGGCGCGCTCTCTCTCTCTCACTCACTCTCTCTCTCTCTCATAAATAATCTTGAAAAAAAACCTCATTAAAGTATGGAGTGGAAAGTCAAATGCAGTTTTAAAAAAATTAAAAATTAAAAAATTAAAAACCCATACAGGGAAATTATGCAACCTGCTCAAGATTTCAGACATAGTAATGGGAAACACTTGAATTTGAACTGGTGTACTCTTACTCTGCTAACCAGTCTGCAAGAGTTTTGACATGGGTTATAGATTTACCTCCATTTCACACACTGAGATCTTTCTCAGCTTTTGCAAATCAAGGAGATGGCCATTTTCTCCAGGTTCGCCCATATGATAAATAGGCGGTTGTAAGGACTGACCTCTACAACCTCTTGTTTTATTCAGCTATAAAGTGGGGATAATACCCACCTACCCACAGTATGGACATTACTGTGGAAATCCAATATAAATTCCAAAATGTTCTGATAGGTTAAAAGGAGCTATAAAACTGATTATTAGTAGTCTTACTACTAAATAGCATTCTCTAATTCATGTTAAAATAATTTGTTGTTTTCTGTGATGATTCAGAAAAGCAAATGATCATACCTCTTCCTTTATTGGCAGCTTGGGCAGCTTAGGTGATCTGGAAGCTCTTGGCAGCACTGTTGTGCTCTGCCTGACAAGGACAGCTCCTTTGGAATTTCTCTCATTGGTGTTCTCATAATTACCCATATGCCAGGCAATAAAACCACGATTGTATTTTCCTTGTATATCCATAATATCAGGTTTTGGTTGCCTGAAATTGAAACAAGTTGGTTGGTTCTCAAATTGGAAAGATCTAGAAACAAGGCCACTAGTTTTCAGATAGTTGAGACTTGTCTATTTCTTTTATGATTTGAGGTGATTTTTAGCCATGTGGCTCAAGAAAGCTAAGGACCTGAGCCATCAGCCAGTGTTCTGAGAAGTTTCTGGACTCTGCCTACTCCACTGGATGTATAGCTGTGGAGGCTCAGGAAACTACCTCCCAGGATAGATACTCATCTAGGCACTTTGTTGGTGAATTCACCCCTGTATCGTAACTGATCCTCCTGTCCTTTAGAGCCATGCATACAAGATGCTGAAGGTGGCCTGTTCAAGCTGAGACCTCATGTGACCTGAGAGTTCTGCAGGATATGGTCTATCCATTTTGAGATCTTAGGAGAATTCAGAAAAACACCAGCTTCATGATTCCAGACTCTGGCTTTGGACAGTATGTTAGAGGAAAGATCTAGGCTTCATTCTCTTTCCCCATTGAAATCCTTGTTTAGGTTCCAACATCCCTAAATTAGAATACTAAGTCCTGCCTTCCCATTATAAAGGGCCAGCCCTGGGCGGGGAAGCAGAAAGGATCATCTGATAGGATTCGCCATCTCACTTGGAATTATGTGGTTCTGAAGAACCTCTTGGAGCTTCTTACCCCACCATCCCTCAACCTGAGTGCTCAGAGCCTCTTGGCCACTGCAAATTTCCCTTCCTAAAATCTGGGCTTTATGGGTTCCCAAGTTCTTTGGACCAAGATTAGTGACAGGTTTGCATTACCCTTTGCTCATTCAAGAAGATACGTGCACTTACTGTATGCCTGGCACCTTACGAGGTGGTGGGGAGAGAGCAATAATAGGCAGACAACAAATAGGTAAGTCAAGTACTCGGGAAGTATCATGAAGAAAACTAAAGCCAGATAAGGAATAAAAAATGCCAGGCATGCTGTTTTTGTGGGGGTTGGCTGTGGAGTTGGAGGTATCACTTGAGCAGAGAGCTAGCTGGAGGGAGGGAGCCAGCAATTCTCACAGTGCCGGGGGTCGGACACTCCCTCCCACTCCCTAGAACCACAGATCCCTGCACGGGGGCGGGAGCTGACCATGTTGTTCTCCAGTAACCCTCCGCTGACACCCCCATAGCCTTCAGAATCAAGTCCAGAATTCCTTAGCACAGCACACAGGGGTGTGTGCTCTTGCTGTTTGTTTTCCGTCTGTTTTCTTTTTTTAAATGGTCTGCCCACATGGGCCTTTCTGGTCCCTCCTCCCAGATACCCACAGTGCGCTCCATTGTGCGCTCACCTGTCCCTCTGTGAGCTCTGAAGTCCTGCTTTCAGACCTTCAGCCTTCTGCTGCAACTTTTCCTTTTGCTTGTAATTCCCTCCCTCCTCCTCTCCTGACAAACGCCGCCCGAGGCTTTAAACCTCACCTTTTCTGAAAAGACTCCTTATTCCCCATCAGTCAGGCAGCACTTTTTCTCCTTTTTTAGCCCATGGTGTTTGACTTCTTTTGTAGAAACTATTAGAACCTGCTTAAATGTCTTGTGCAGCAGTCTCTCTCCCTCCGAACTCAGCGCTCCTTAAAGAGCCCAGAATGTGTCTCGTTCATCACAGGATCCCCAGTGCTCATTACCTGGCCGGACTCACCACGGCCACTCAGCTTGTCTGTGATGGGTGGAGTAATGAGCAAGGGAGGGAGAAGATCAGAGCTGAGTTCCTCTAAAAGGTTCCTTCCCTCCCACTCCTCTCCACTTGCCTGCTTCTGCAGCCTCCTTTTTTTTTAAAAGAGATTATTTTTATTTACTTGAGATGGAGATAGAGCAAGAGATCAAGAGAGGGAACACAAGCAGGGGCAGAGGGAGAGGGAGAAGCAGTCTCCCCGCTGAGCAGGGAGCCCGATGCGGGACCCAATCCCAGCACCCTGGGATCATGACCCAAGCTGAAGGCAGACGCTTAACCGACTGAGCCACCCAGGCTCCCCTTCTGCAGCCTCTTTTTCCCTCCCAACACCAGCAGTAGAGGGAGAGGGAGAAGCAGGCCTCCTGCCGAGCAGGGAGCCCAATGAGGGGCTTGATCCCAGGACCCTGGGACCATGACCTGAACCGAAGGCAGACGCTTAACGACTGAGCCACCCAGGCGCCCCCAAAGAGTTTAAAAATCTTATAAAAATAATAGACACGTCAGCTGTGGAGATTTACACACACTATATTGAACTTACAACTGAGCCACAGAAGTCAAAAGAGGTAAATCAAGGAGCAGAAGGTTTGGCTCTGGATTGGTTTGGACCATGAATGCTAGGCCATCAGCAATGATTCAATGTTATACAAACACACAGACACAGACACACACACACACCCCAAAATAAATAACAAAACCAAATGTTCTTAGTGTAACAATCTTACTATTCTTAAGTAGGCCCCTAAAGGTCAGATTTTTTTTCATTTTGAAATAATTTCAAGCTTATAGAAAAGTAGAAGCACAGTACAACAGCTTTTTTTCCTGAACAATTTGAAAGTACATGATTGACATGATACCCATCATCCCCAAATACCTGAGTGTGTTAATTCCTACAAATAAGAACATTCTACATAACCTCAATATAACTATCAAAATCGGAGAAAATCAGCACAAGCAATAAAAGCAAAAACAAGCAAGTGGAACTACACCAAACCAAAAAACTTCTACACAACAAAAGAAACCATCAACAAAGTAAAAAGACAACCTACAGAATGGGAACATTTATTTGCAGACCATATATCTGCTAAGGTGTTAATATCCCAAATATATAATTCATAAACTCAATAGCAAACAACAAATAATAATCCAATTTAAAAATGTGCGAAGGACCCGAATAGACGTTTTCCCAAAGATAGGCAATCGGCCAACAGGCACATGGGAAGATGCTCAACATTACTAATCATTAGGGAAATGTAAATTAAAGCCACAATGAGATATCACCTCATACCCTGTTAGAATGGCCACCATCAAAAAGACAATGGATAATAAATGTTGGTGAGGATGTGGAGAAAAGGGAACCCTTGTGCACTGTTGGTGGGAATGTGAATTGGGACAGCCACTATGGAAAAGAGTATGGAAGTTCATCAAAAAATTAAAAATAGAACCACCATATGGTCCAGCAATTCCATTCTGGGAGTATATCCAAAGGAAACAAAAACACTAACTCAGGAAGATATCTGCTCTCCCATGTTCACAGCAGCATTATTTGCAGTAGCCAAGACATGGAAACAACCTCAATGTCCCTCGGTGGATGAAGGAATAAAGAAGTTGTGGTATTACAATGGAATATTCTTCAGCCATAAAAAATAAGGAAATCCTACCATTTGTGACAACACAGAGGGACCTTGAAAGCATTACGCTAGGTGAAATCAGACAGAGAAAGACAAATAATGTTTGAACTCACTTATATGGGGAATTTAAAAACAAAACCCACCAAACTCATAGAAAAAAAAAAAAGAAATCACACTGGTAAGCAGAGGTGGGAGTTGGCGGGGGGGAGGGAAATTGGAGGAAAGCGCTCAAAAGGTAGAAGCTTCCAGGCACAAGATATAGAAGCACCAGCATGTCGTGTGCAACCTGATGATCACAGCTAACACAGCGGTGTGATGTATAGGAAAGTTGTTAAGAGAGTAAATCCTAAGAGTTCTCCTTACAAAGGAATTTGGTTTTTTTGTATCCACATGAGATGATGGATTTTAACTAAACCTACTTGGTAATCATTTCACAATATATGTAAATTGAACTATCATGCCCTACATCTTGAACTTATGCAGGGACGTATGTCAATAATTATTCCCCAATAAAATCTTCAGGGAAAAGCAGAGGAAATCAGAAAATTAACACGTCTGTCAGACCCCATTCCAGTTTCCCAATAATGTCCGTTTTGCAAAAGGAACCATTTAAGAACTACACATTGCATTTAGTTTTCTCATCTCTTTTAGTCTCCTTAAATCTGGAACACTTTCCCAATCTTCCTGCGGCTTTCACACAGCCTTGATACTTTGGGAGAACACAGGCCAGTTATTCTGGAGATGTCCCTCAATTTGGGTTTATCTTATGTTTTCTCTTGATGAGATTCAGGCCATGCATCCTCAGGTAGGAATAACACAGGATGGCGATGGTGTGACTTGTCCCATTACTGGCGAGGTTCACTAAGGTCACTTGATGGAGGTCGTATCTGCCAGGCTTCTCCTTTGTAAAATTACTTTTCCCTTTCATTATTAGTATTTCGTGAGAAAATACTTTGAATTTATGTAAAAATTTCATTCCGTGTCAAATGTTTAATTAATTAATTAACATCAGTATGGACTCAGGATTTCCTCTTTTGTGCAATGGGCTATAATCCATCCATAACATTCATTTTGATGCTCAGATTGTCCCAGATTTGGCTAGAGGGAGCTCCTTCAATCTCACTTCTGTGTCCTTTTGACTGCCCCCATCATTCTTTGGGCACTTCCTTACTTTTTAGCACAAAAAGATGTTCCAGGTTCTTCTTTCCCTTCCCCAACCCTGGAATAATCCATTTTGTAAAGGAACTCTGTTTCCTGTTAGTGGAAAATGATAATTAGAAACCAAGACCCAGGTGCTAGGCATTCCTCTTAGCGTTGAGGTGTCACTGTCACACAACCTTTTCAGACAATATTACCCAGGGTTCATTAGGGTGTTTGTGCTAGTTTTCTCCCTTTCCATATTTGTAACTCTCTTCTCTTATAGCGGGAAACCTGATTCCCATTCTCTTTATGTATTTACTTATTTGATCAGTCCTCCTGTCAATAACCAAGTTCTCACTGCTACCACCACCCCCGTCCACTTTGTGCATGTTTTCCTCACCCCATTTGGGATCCAACACCCCAGCCCAGGATGCCCTCTTGCAGTCTTTCTCACCCTACTCTGAACTACCACAGTTTGTCTCATCATTTTTTGTTAAAAAATTAACAGTTCAAATAATATAGTGTGTCAATTCTGGAAATGAGACTTATTTCCCC